TTAAATCTGGCTTGAAACAAATTATTTATAATAATCTTTCTTTGTTTTACATTTATATTTGTTATCATTTCCTCATTTCTAAATATGGTTTAGTTTTTTCTAAATATGGTCACCCAAATTATAAAGGCGACCAAATGGGATCAGCTGTTTTCGCTACCGCTCTAATTCTGTTTAAGTAGGCGAAATAGCTCGGCGAACGGTGAACGACAGCATCGCCCAATTCGGCGAAGTTTGCCGTTCGCCGGTATTGTATTTCAAGCATAATGAAAACACGCAAAATTCGACCAGCAGTTGAACGTTAAACGATGTTGCGGAGGGTTTTCGTAGTTGGTCGCTGTATGGCATGGAGTAAAGGTGATCGTGAGTTGAGCGATGTAAAAAGTTAAGTATATACATACATAAATTGTGATTGTTTGTAAATAAAACATAATTAATGGTAATAAAAGAATTATCCAGAATAGTTTTAGAAAAACTGCGTGGTAACTAACAGATATTGAAAAGTGCAAAGAGTGCAACAAAATGGGTAATGTACAAACACGACAATTCGATGCCAAGGGCATGGCTTATCGCCGTGGAAGTGAGTACTGAATTTGAAGGCCCACTTGAAAACTCCTAATATATTTGCAAACAAAAGGTATATCCTGGAATTTCCGGTACCCGATGACAAAACGACGCGATCAAACCACAATGATGGTGTTCAATGTGAACATGAGTATAACTGCTTGGTTAGATTTGCTCGATCTGCAGCAATATGAAGGTGAGTATAAAAATACATACATACATATATGAAGAAATACCCTGCAAAAATCGCGACTACTCCATGCAAGCATACAAAGAGTACTCCCTAAGCGTCAAGGAGTACTCCAAAATTAATCACAATACATATAAAAAATGTGGTCCAATTAACATTTCGATGTCCTAGAGCAGCTCAGCATTACGTCAGAATACCACAAAACTACTCCAACATGTTAACAAAATCATTGTTGATATTGTACAGGCTTTTATTCTGCATTTCACAGATGCTCTTTCATTGTTGGGATGCACAAAATAAAATTTTTTTATTATCATTGTTGGGATGCACAAAATAAAATTTTTTTATTATCATTTTAACATGATGCCTCTGGTGAGATTCGAAACAGGACCTTCTGGAAGTTAGCAAATAACAGCGAGAATTTCTGTACACTAAGCTACAGCCGCTATATAACTTAGCTTTCAAACTGAATAAACTTTTTTCGTCGTTTGATTTTGCTCTTCACTTCACAGATGCTTTTTCGTATTAACAAAAACCAAAAACAAAAATAAAAATAAAAAATTACATGTTGTCTCTACACGTTTAGCTGCAGCCAGACATACAAATGTGCTTTAAAATGTTCAATTTTAATCTCATTTCGTTAAAACACGAGCAGTGATCGGGTAACAATAAGCTGGTGCAGAGACACGAATTGATCCGCTACAGCATGACAGAGTAGCACTTTGTAAGTACTCCAATATGCCACAAATAGACTTCATGGTCCAATTATTTTTGCAGGATATTCTCCTTATACAAATGTACCATAATTGGGCTACATATTTTCATATCTTGCACAGTATTGCCATCTCTTTGTATATTGTCAGCAGAAATTCGTGTTTTTTTTTTAATTTTATAAATGTATGCTGAAACTATGAAACTGTAAGTAAAAATCAGATTGTGCAATGAAATAACATGCAAAATTGTAACGTTTGTGGTAAGAAGTTCAACTTGATTAAGAATCGAGTTGAACCAACGGTCGCAACGTTTATGGCTTGCGTAAAAGTTCGGTTGAATGTGACAATGCAAACGCTTTTTCTTCGCGTTTTGCTGTCTAAATGTGAAAGCGAAAGTCTACTTTCCCGTGTAAACAGCTAAAAGTGCCTTTTTGCAGATTGGCAGAAATCATTTTCGAAAATAAAAATTGAAAGGTGTAACTGCAACTGAAATTGCCCAGTTGCTGTTGCTGCACTAGCAATTACCATTTTTATCAAATTTTTCAGATTAGTAATTTTTTTTATAAGTATAAAAATGTCTGGTAGCATATTGAAAGTGGAATTGTCTGCATTCACCGTGTAAACGACAAAAAGTAGTATTAAAAAGTTTGATTTTCAGAAATAAAAAACTGGTTTCGAAAGCCACTTTATATGCAAGATGTAACTGCTCCTGTAATCTCTTTTTCAAATTCTTGAGTTTGGCTTACTTTTGAAAATAACTTGCATTTGCCACGTCTAACAGCCACTTAAGCCACGCTGCGTGAACCTTGCCATTGTGTGTAATTGGCGCTTGCATGTAAATTAGGGCTGTCAGACGTCCTGGTTTTCCCGGATTTGTTCTGATTTAAACAAATTGTCCTGGTGTCCTGGACCACACTTAAATTGTCCTGGTTTTTAATGAAGGTCAATGCAGACACTCATCTAATTTTTAGCAGATTTTTGCTTTGAAAAAAAGGTTAAGGTTCCTGTCATTAGTAGTCAAAAATCGATAATGAATCATTTATTCTAACATGTTGAACAATATCTTTCTGTTTAGTTTCTTTGGTTAAAATCTAATTTAGTATCTTCAGGTGAATGCTAAAAAAGTACAAGTTCCTGAACAGGTACACGGCTGAGGGGCACACATACTGATAATTTCAGGAGTTAAAATCTCTTCCAAAAGCCCTTTCTGAAAGTCATTCCTTTTTCCTTCCTTTTTTGTACGGAATGGCAAAAATTGAAGGGCTTCTGCTTTCGCTACCCAATGAAGAGCTTCCATAAGGGCTTTTGTAGGACGTAATTCTCAAGGGCTTTTGAAGATTTTCTTTTAAAACTAATTTAGTTCATTAAAATCATACTTCTTTAAGGAATTTAAATATTTAAGGTTAAGATCAAATATGTTTTATTGAAACTTGAAATGCTTATTGAATCCTATTTGTAATGCTAAATAATATAAACATACTCTTTTTGCAAGGCGACAAACTCCAAAAATGCGTATCTTGACCATTTTATTTATATAAATGTTAAGCACGCTTCCTTAGCTTTAAACCGGCGTTAATATGAAGCCTCACGATGAGCAGATCTCGAGATATAACGATTTGAAGAAGTACATGATTAGTCACGGGCCCCTGCCAAAAGCCCGGCCCGCGCCCATCTCTACTACCTACTCAGGTGTACGTGGTGTATGAGTAATGTGACTAACCGTACTTCTTTCGGAAGTACAGTACTTCTTTTCTCCCTTTTGTACTTTGTACTTCGAAGTACAGTCAAATGTACTTCTTTGCGATATTTTTTACTTCAGGAGGGAAATTTTGTAACCAGTAGCGACAACTTTCTGATCGCTATCGCACTTTTGGACGCATGATATAAATGTCTTTAGGTCAAAAAGTGTGATAGCGATTCGAAAATTGTCGCTAACTTGTTTCCGAATCTCCCCCCTCCGATCTTCTGGACGATCGTTACATAGCCTGGGCGTTAAATTCGTTCAAGCCATTAAAGTCGCCGGGGACCGATGCCATCATACCTGAGCAGCTGCGAAGGGCTCTGAAGGTGTCGTGAAAGTGGTTGGCTCCTATTTATGCGAACTGCGTGACGACCGAGTACATCCCCAAGGATTGGAGATTAGTCAGTGTTGCGTTCATCGCGAAGGCCGGAAAATGCACACATATTTCCCCTAGGTATTTTAGAGCTATCAGTCCCTCTTCGTTTTAGCTGAAACTCTGGAGAGACCGATAGACCTGTACATAAGAAACGCGATCCTCGTGACTGTCTTTCAAGAGCCCAATATGCTTATTGCAGGAAAAGGTCGGTGAATACCGCCCTGCACATATTGGCAAAGGTGTCAGAGAAACCCCTCGTACATAAAGATTATGCAGTAGGGGCCTTATGCGATATCGAGGGGCCTTCAAAAATTTCACTCCCGTGACACTAGAGGGGTTGAAACCAACCTAATAAAGCTTATCTACAGCTTACTTCGAGAGAGAACTGTCGCGGTGAAGTGGGGGAGCGCCTGCAGTCAGTGCAGAGTCATTACGAGCACTCCACAAGGTGGTGTTCTCCTCCCCTGCACTGGATTACGGTTGTAAATGACCTTCTAGAGAAAATGGAAAAAGTGGGCTGTCGGGTGATAGCCTATATAGATGATGTGGAACATTTCGGTAAGGGACGATTTCTAGACATCCTTTTTGATATGGGTCAAGGTTACCTCAAAATAGTAACTAGGTGGGCGATCTACAGCGGCTGTCGTGGAAGCCTAACATTAAGAAAAGGGTAAGAAAGGTGTCGGTTGCCTTGTACTGCTGTAGGGGAGCTATCGGTAAAAGATGAAGTCTCTCGCCCATATTAGTTCATTAGCTCTCGAAAACTAGATTTAAGCCCATATTGTTTCAAGGAGCCCTTGTCTGGTGGAACTCACTAGAGAAGGCTGCATTTGTAAAATGGGAATTAGCGGAGCATTAGGAACCACACCTACACTTGCGCTTAACAGACATATGATGAACTCGGCGCCTGCGGATATTGCAGACAGAATTGTCGCAGTACGAACTGCTATTGGGCTAAGGGAAACCGGGTTCTTTTGTGATATAAAAAAGGAAAAGAAACGTTTCCCTGCTGCAGCAAATGCTTTATAGGGCACTTTAAAACTCGTTACTTCTCAGGGACTAGTGATGGGGCTCTGACAGGCCATTCTGCGATTGGTTTTTATGCGGTGAGACTAGGAATTTCAACTGATCCTTTTTTATCAGCTATCAAGAGGAAGATGAAGTGGAATTATCTCCACACTCCCTTTTAGACTGTCCAACCTTCGCGAGGCTAAGATGGAAGCATTTTGGCTCGCACTTCTGAACAAACACTGAGCTCTCTGGGATCGAAATTAGCCGCATTGGAAATTTCGTAATCGGCTCGCGGCGTTAACTTAACGCAACCTAACGTGTACTTCTTTTAGCTATGAAATAGTTGGTCACATTATGTATGAGTAACACTCTTTTCTGCTGATATTTCAAACAAAAAATCCTTGCGCATTTTCATTTGACCAATCATTCTTTTGTTATTTATATATCGATTTTCTTCATTGGTAGCTTAGTTTTTTTCTAAAGGAACAGGCCTTAACACAAGTGCAAATTATTTACACAGAAACTGTTATTTTTTACCTTTTTCCCTGTTAAAGTTTGAATTTTTTGCATTTTTCCATAAAAAAAAAACAAAAAATTTGGAATGGTTAGTTTATTTCTCAGAAACTGTCAGGGCTATTGACTAGTAATCAATATGCGGTTTATGGAGAATTTTATTTTCTATCATTTGTCGTACCTCGTATTACGATTATTTAATTGGTTCGTAAGATATACCTGATTAAATGGAACCACTCTTTTTATACCTTTCATGAGCATGAAATGGTATTATAACTTTGGTCCGATGTTTGTAAGTACCAGAACAAAAAGAGATAGACCCATTAAGATGTATACTTATATGATCAGAACGTCGAGCTGAGTTGATTTAACCATGTCCGTCTGTCCGTCTGTCCGTCTGTCCGTCTGTCTGTCTGTTTGTATGCAATCTAGTCTCTCAGTTTTCGAGATATCCGTATCAAATTTGGTATGTGGGTGTATTTTTATAATGTATTAATCATTTGTCGGAACCGGAAGAATCGGACCACTATAACATATAGCTCCCATACAACTGATTGTTCAGATATGAGATTTTTCGTTATAACTTCTCCATTTATGCAGCTACGATCATGAAATTTTGCAGTACTTGCACCCATTATCAACAGAATACTTA